ATGATCTTCCTTCTGGGATTCAGTGAGGCCTTCTAACGCCTCCTTAAAATGATAGAATATCAAGTTGTTTCCAGTATGCATCATCTTAACGCAGTTTTCTTGTAGCCCGGAAAGCCATTGCTGTGTGTACAGCACAGTGAGTAGGGAGGGCCAGACGGCTGCTCTGGTGGCACTGCTGGATAAAGGTTAAAAGAGAGGTTGGAATGGTCTGCTTAAGAGGGCAAGTGGTTCTGCAGGGCAGGGAGCTGCTGGCCGTAGATAGATCCTCCTTCTATAAACACAAAGAAGAGGGGCCTAGGGAATAGAAACCCAAATCCACTTGTAATCGTACAACAGAATCGGGCATAATTACTTGAGCAACCTAGATTAAGATTGATGAGCCTTTAAAGCGCCGTTGCAGATCGATCACCCTGCCCTTTGCAGAGAGGCCAGGTTTCCTAGCGGCGCGGGGCGGCGCGGCTGGGCTTGGCTCGCACAGCAGAATAACGGAGAGAAGATGGAGGCTAAAAGGGGACAGAAGCAAAGCAAACCCGCGGCATGTGATTCAGATCAGCTGACAGGAGTCAAGCTGCTACACTGGTTTGTTAGGAGATGGAAAACAATAAAATGAAGGAAAACTAGAGTTTGTATCAATATTATCTCGCCTGCCACACTGGGCGGCTGAAAGCTTGTCAGTGAAACAGTTGAGTTTTAGATTCCCTCTTGTTCACACAATAATCCGTGCCTGCCTGCTCATTTATTTTGCAAAGGAAATGACAATACGTTGTGCAGTAGAGTCTCAAACTTGGTGGTTCTCAAAGTATTAACAGCCTGACAGATGAGCTGATAGACGATTAAGTCGGACTAAGTGAGCAATGTGAAGCGTTGCCTACACGCTCTGATTGTAAAGTGTGTGTATGTGTGTGTGTGTGTGTGTGTGTGTGTGTGTAGCATTGAGGGAGCAGGAGAAGGCTGTACCGGTGCCTATTAGCCTTGGTGCTGTTGTGCAGAATAAGTCCAGAGCTTGCCATGGCCGTGCCAGTGTGCCGCAAGCCCACTCACCTAGAGCGTCTAGGCAGCGCCTGGGGATTGCAAGGGGAGAGGCGCATATAGCAGCCAGACGGTCACCTGCACGCGCCCCTGGTTCGTGGACCGCACATTCCAACGACATAAATACAACAAGGGTCGTTTTTACATTAGTTAGGGTGAATAGCCTTTTAAAGCTTTCTGTAAAATAGCTTGGTTTCACTGAATTTCCAAAATGTCGAGTACTCCTTTATTACTTATATTTCATGTGTCTAGAAATATAGATTTTCCTTGCAAGTTAGCTGTGGTCTGCAAGAGAGTTTTATAATTCATCTATTTTAGTTTAGAATAAGGGATCTTTCTAAGCAAGTTATCAGTTTAACGGCAGATTTATTGAATTCGGATGAAAGATCAGATGGGAGGATGGTCATCTGTAGTGCCCCTTTGTATTCAAGGAATGATTTCCTAAAATTAAAACAATGCGCCATAAAGGCTGGCAGTTACAAATGACCCTACCCCCATCCCTCAATACACATATGGCTCGCAAAGAATTCTATTTTGTGCAAAAGGTTATGGTACAATTATTTTTAAAGTTCTTAGTGAAAAGACATTGAAATAAATATGATCTTGCTGGAAACCCATAACACATTGAGTGCTGCTTTTTGAGGCTTCACTAAAGTGACTTTTTTTTTCTTTTGTGATGTCTTCTGATTTAAGCTGTAGCTCGGAGTTAAAGCTAATGAAAGGCGTCTATAAAAGTACAGACTGCTGTATTTGCTTTTCCCAGGAAAGCGCAGATATCTAGAGATGAATCCCCAGACTTTGTGGAAACTATTAGCTTTTGGGACTCCCTTCGCATGAACCTCCTGACCCCGTTTATTGAGACCTATAAGTAACGTGTCAGTGCTACTTGCAGGCTTCTGTATCTAAACAGTGGTAGTGTTAATTATCAGAAGGTCAGGAAGGGAGAAGGAACCCGCTTCTAAGAGCAGTAATTTTTCATTCTAGCCCCCGTGAATTTTGGTTATTGATTCATCTCGGAGTCTCACTCTACAGCTCAGAAACTCTTGTCAGACTACTCATGAGGGAGCAGGGTGGTAAGCACTCGCAAGAAAGACATAAGGCAACTTACAAATGGACTTTATTAGGCGGATAGTTGGGTGCCTGCATTCAGTAAGGAATGGGGAAGGGTAGGCTGAAGTTACTACGGCCTGCCTGACGCCTCTGCCCTTGCTTTGCAGGCCCGGTGGTTCTCAGCACGCCGGCACAGCTCATCGCCCCTGTGGTAGTGGCCAAAGGTACTCTCTCCATCACTACCACGGAAATCTACTTTGAGGTGGATGAGGATGATCCCGCCTTCAAGAAGATTGACCCCAAAGTGAGTAGAGTGCGTTTCCTCGTTGCCTGGGTGTGTTTACATTAGACATGGTCTGAAAGCGATTTGTATGTTAAACACTGTCCGGAGAACATCCTCCGATGCGAAAGGTCCCCTCCTCCCCCAAACGCCTTACTCCTGTGGTCTTTCACTGTGTTTTATTAAAAAGCGAAATGTATTAATGATGGCAAATCCTCTATTACAGCGTGCACATTTTTAACAATCTTTCTCTGAATGCCTTTGTATGAACACGGGCAGATTTAGGAGTTAAGCCAATTGCTCTGAAATCCCTTGAGGTAACAGCGGTCCCAGACCGCGGTCCTCTAAGACACAATGATGGGCTTTGCTCTTGAAGTGGATTTTATAGAATCCCTTTATTCCAAGAACACGAGTTTCCAAATAGGAAAATACTTGCACGTTTTAATAAATGTTGTCTGTTCGAATACTGAAATTTAGTGTTCACTGTCTGAAAAGGAAAATGGCTATCATATGGGCCTGAACACAGCAGCTGATTCTTGGGAAATCTCTATTTTTTAAAAAAATTTAATATTACAAAACTCCTTGACATCTGCAAGAGAAGCAGATCTAACCAAGTTAAGAGCTATTCACATACATTTCTGTTTTACTGTTGAGAATAAAAAAATGAATTTAAATGGAGCATACATGTGGTGGGGATATTTGTTATAGGGATATATGTCATCTTTTTTTCCATGTGGTTTCTGCTTATTATTATTGCTTTATTCTCTATACAGTCACAAAACAGTTTTACAAGTTTCTTCGTGTAGGAGAGAAAAATACAGGAGATGCTTCTAAAAGTCATTCCTATATTTTTTTTGCAAAAAAAAAATCATTTACTGTAAATGTGTTTCAATGATAACTTTTTAAAAATGCAGTTATCGTTTTTGAAAGCACGTGTGTTTTAATAAAGTGGGGTTTCTGTTGAGGAATAATGTCTGAAATTGAGAACGTCCTCGTCGGAATAAATATAAAAGATTATTACACAGTAACCATTATAACAGTTTCACTAACATCCACCCACTATGACTTCTTATAACGGGACATCACACCGGCAATAATTTTCTTGGTTCAGCACTTGTTGACTATTAAGTTTTTTACTAAATTATGTTCGTTGCTATTTTGAATCTGTGTTATGCATTTAAATCTTAAAATACTTCAAAGAAATATACATTCTGAATAATCGTGCTGGAGTATGAATAGACCGTTTGTAATAGCTTGCAACTGTATGAGTGTACACATGCTATTCTCCCCGGATGCCTTTGGAACGTCAGAGTTGATTTCTACATATGCAACTTGCAACCTTGTTACATCCATAGTGGATTTGTAGGTCGGAAGTTATATTGTTCTTCATTTTGCTGCTACTGGCTTGACCCCTTCACCTGTAAATGTTGCTTTTTTCTTTATTACTTACTTTCTCCAAAATATTGATTTTTGTCAGGAATTACTCATTGCTCATTCAGTTTCCTTTGCTTCAGTCCTATTTTTCTCCCTCAATACAGCTAAAAACCATGGAGAAACATTAATCTAGTACAGTGAATCTTTCAAAAGTAAATTTATTTTTGACACCTATAGAAAGTGTTGGTTACTCTGTTAATTACCACATTAAATTGTGGTGCATATGATACACCAATATTTTCTTTTCCCACGAAACTAATCAGTAGGAAAAGGGCTGCTCCCTTTAGCCATTGCACACTGGATTTAAGCAGGGTTCGACAAAAGGATGTGATTTGCAAAACATTGGCGTGATTTTCAAATAGAAAACTTAATCCAGTTTTGAAACGCTTAACAATATTTATTTTACTTCATTTATTAGCTTGTAATTAAATAAAATCAGCAACAGAAATTATAATCTAAATCACAAAAAGTCATTATCCAGTGTATTTCAAGTGCATTTTTCAAATATATAATTCCAATATTCAAGCGTTATTATATAAGCAGAATCCAAATTTCTTTTGAATATATTTAAATAACATTTCAAGTATATTTATGGAATGTTAGAAATAGAACAAGCAATATATATGAAACGGAAAATGTAAACTTTTAAGTTCAGACACTTCAAAAGACAATTAACAAAAGTACCATGATAAAATCTACCTTTTTAAATGGTATCTTCTTTAGCAGAAAATGTCCTGAAGTATCCGAAATGGCAATTTAACTTCTGTTCACCAAATCACAAAACACCAACATCCACAATTTCAAAGACAATGTGAGATCACAATATTTGATACAAATTAAAATGTACATTAAGGTTTTGTTCAGACGGCATATCCAAATAGCTTTTACTCACAGAAGAATTTACATAAAAATACCGGGTTTTTTTATAATCCATTGGTACCGTTTCTACGTAGAATTGTCACAATCATATTAAATTACAGCCGAATTTGTCTCCGGGTGTTAACATACATTTTTTTCAGAGGGAATTTCAAAACTGTGATGAAAACATGTCATAGTGTTTGCTCTTTTGTGTGTCTGCGTGTCTTTGTGTGTAAGAGAGAGAAAAGCCTAAGCAATATTCCTCTTAAAGAAAATATTAGCATTTTCGAGTGGAAATATTTTACTTTTTGAACAGGAAGTTTAAACTTTATCTGAAAATCAGAAGACTAATCAGTTAGGCCCATATTTTAACTGTCCTCTAAAGTTTTTCCAAACTTTTCGGATTGGTGAGTATTTCCCTAGCCAGACGCCAAGTTTGTTTGGCTGCGTTTTCCAGGGCTGAATGAGGTTTTCCTTGAAACAGGTCTAAATTAGGCAAGAAATAATGTGGGCACCTCCTGCATTGGAGACAGGAGATGAGTTGCAGTAAAATCCCGTTGAGTCGGTCGCCGAGGCAAGATTCGTCCCAGTCCGATTCCCGGGGATGCTTTTCACACTCGTATGAAACCAGAGTCTTCATGTGATAATTATTCAGGGGTTGTCCCGGCAGTTCCAGATGACGGTCCCGTAAGGTTTTGAGGATAGAGAGGCATTTCTTTCTGCAACCGCCCATCTGCAGTCTGTTCTCGGCTTCTGCGAACTGCAGCACCCAGGCATCACTCTCGGCTGAACTCTGCTTGCCTGCTAGCGAGTGGCACTCCTTAGATAAAAGGTTGAAACCTTCAGCTTTGACTTCTGCTACCCTGTTGGGTCCCGGCCAGGGGATGTGGGGAAGTGGCCAGTGGGCAGCACTCCTTGGCCAGATCCCTGTGCATTTAAAAGCCGGGGTGATTTGCACGACATATCTATCTCTGATTCTCAGTTTCACTTCACTCGTGTCAGCCACCATCTTTACCACGTCTCTGTAACTGCATTTATCCACGGCTTGGGCTACCAGAGTCTGAAATCTGGACCGGATTTTGCGAGCGGAAAGGTAACCAGATGCCGTGATGAACTCCACCCAAAGGGACATGCTCCTCTTGCGCCCGTCGCTTAACTTTAACACGGCGCAGCCCGGCAAAGAGCCGTCATCCACGAAGTTGAAAACTCCCATTTGGTTCAGATAAAGCACCACTTCAAACTCTGTGGGAGAAATGACTTCCAAACCCTCGTAGCGGTTGTCCATCTCGTTCAAAGAGCTGATGAAACGGGGCTCCTGCACCTCCACTTCCTTTAGCACGTCCGAAACCACTTTGCAGACTTCTCGGATAGTTTTGGCGATGGCGGCTTTCCTGGCTTGGCATTTCTCGTTGTAATATTTATTCAGATGATACACCAGCTTGGCCTGGGCCGCGATCATATTGGGGCAGAGATCCGGATTATATACCGGAGTCTCGCAGTAAGCTGTGGGATCCAATGCGGCTGCTAAGGCTGGAGCCAACTTCAGAGGAGAAACAGGCTGCAGCGCTCTGAAACGTAATAAATGTCTTTCAAAATACGATGTGGCTACTGCTCCTCAGATGCTCTCTTCCTGCCTTTTTAGATCTGCAGTCTCGAAGTGGGGCGCGATATTTTTCTTTCCTTTTTTTTTAAATGATCACTGAGTGAGCGCAAAGCATTGAGATCGGCACTTCCCGAGCAGCAATAAAAACAAAAGTTGAGCTGAGACACAGCAAGGCTTCCAGTAGTCAAAACAATAAACCCTCTCCGTATTTGTTTATGTTTTCCTGTAGTAATCACTGTGTGCGCGCAGGGTTGTTAATCAGATGGTGGAAAAAGTGCTGGGTGTCGGGGTGGGTGTGTGTGTGTGTGTGTGTGTGTGTGTGTCAGGAGAAGCTGGCTGTTGGTTAGTCTAAGAGCCCAGATGCTCTCGTGTGGAAATTATAAAGGCAGGGCCAGGCAGGCGGGCGGCCAATCGCCACTGGGCTCGTCACTGCAGCCTCCTTCAGCTCAAACCCGGCTAATTAATCCGTCTCTTGGCTATATATACTTGTATATATGTACACACAAACTAAAGGTAGGCGGCTGCTGGCAGAAAACCACCCAGGCCACCTATGCATTTGGAAATTGAGAAGAATCTCTCGCCTTTTGCTGTAACTTGAGGTGTATTGATGTTTTGAAAGGACTTGGCAAAAGTGCGATGTTCTGCGCTGAATCCCTGTTTGTCTCCTTGAGGCTGAAATGTGAATTCAGGTGTATTAACGGACATCCTTCAACTAGTGAGCTACGGGGGGAAGGGGGAAGAGGTTACTCTTTAAAGAACAGAGACGTAAATTCATTACCTCGTCCTTGGCATCAAATCATGATGTTCTTTTCTCCTGATAGTTGTCTGTAATTGCAGGTCAGAAGTTTTCCTCTCATGAATTGGCCAGTGTATAAGGCCATAGATTCTCGGCAATGTAGCGTTCGCAGGATCAAAATATTTCAACACACCCCCTAATTAAATTGGTTTTAAGGATATTCTGACGGGGTATAATCGATTTTAAGTTTATGCAGATATTGCATTCTCTTTGATGTATTTGTGTGTGTATATGAAACGTATGAAGGATATACCAGTTACTAAATGCATATAACAGTTTATTTTCGTATTCAGTCTAAGAAGTAGCAGATACTTAGTATAAATCTTACTTGCTCCTGCTTAGTTCATTTTTATATTCTGTATATATCTCCAATAGATTGCAAAGCTATATATGTTCAGATGCCTTTCTGAACATCGTTGTAAAATAAATATCTATTAATTCCCTTATGTGGACAGTTTATTTTACTGTGAACTCTATTTGCAAGCTGTTTTAATAAATGTGCACACGGGAGGGACATTAGCGAATGCAGACATGTTGGCAGACAACTAATCTGACAGTTTGGGTTTTCGTGTGTGTGATATATAATTAAACAAATTTCCCCTTCAGTATCTTAAGTGTCAGTAATCGGTCCTCCTATTTGCAAAGAGAGTGAAAGGAACATCTTTCTCAGAATCTTCCCTGCTTTGCTTCACGAAGAAACACAGTTCGCATTTATAGAGCACGCATTTTAAGAAATTTTAATTTGACTCCAATTTTTAAACGTACTGCCCCTTGAAATTATTTCCTAAGAAACTTCTATGGTCTGGTAGAGAGAGATGCCTTACGTGCTACTAACGTGTTCAAGTCACAAGCGTATTACTGCGGCAAAGTTTGTACCAAAGGTATAGTACAGTTTATTTTGTGCTTTGCTGTCTTGATGTAGCGTTAATACAGACGGCTCTGTATTTCGATGACTATTAATCCATAGGCAGAATTTCATGGGCGTCTGTAACTTTCTATTCATGATTAAAATGAAACTAGGATTGTCTTCAGACGCCTAGGGCTGCCCGCAGCAAGTTCCTGCTGTTTGTGTAAGGAGTAGCTCGTTTCCATATTCCTCAACTTTCTTCCCTTCATCCAAAGTGTCACGTCTAGGGGCCGAAACCCGGGCTGGGGAGGAGGCAGGCTCTGGACTCTGCTCAGCCGGCTGGGCGTTCTTGCCGGATTTAGCCATCTAGCTTGGGAGCAAAATGCTTTGCCCCGGTGCTCTCTCGACAACTGTGCTTTGAACATAAGAAATCCCCCGGGGGCCTGACGCCGCGGCTCTTTGGACTGGGGGGGGGGCGGGGACGCCGCTAGTTCCGCGGGTGGAGCTGCCGCCTGCTGCAGCCTAGGGAATGGGTCATCAGGTGCCCTGTTCATCCCTCACGCCCCCTGTTCTCGCTTCTCGTCTTCGGGCACACGGTCGCCTCTCTGCCCTACCCACTTACTTGGGCATGCCCCGGTCTAGTTCAGGGGGCAGGAGGTGCTTTCCGAGCCTCGCGCTCTCCTCCTGCCCTTCAGTTTCCCCGGTTCTGGATTAGCCTCTGTCCGCAGCGCTGACCCCGCCTGCACTGGTCCCGACAGAGCCAACTTTCATTAGCCAATCTAACTCTTAGCTCGGCGGGGCCGCTACTACCGAGAGGGTCGTTGGCCCTGCACATGCTGCAATCCCCACCCCTGGTATTCGCTATAAAATCCCCAGGTGGTCAAGTGGCCCCGGCTGCACGGACCGAGGACCCACTTTGCTCAGGTCAGTCCCCAAGGCCCATCGGTTTGCTGGAGAGCTCGCGAGCCAGGGGCTGCAGGAGCCGGCACAGACACGCTTAGGGATGGGGGAGATGCCCAAATGCACCATTCTGCCTAATTCCCCCGAAGGCCCAAGTTGAGGACAGTGGCCAATCTGACTTGAATCAGACCGGGAGCGGGTCTGAAGTGTGAAACTGTAGGCAGGCTTTTAGCACGCAGGTGGTGCCTTTTAGCGCCTTTCAACCGTTTCTGGTACTGGTGGGGGAAAATACCCGGGTGCTAAGCTGCAAGGAAACTTACAGGCCAGGCCGACCTATTCCGACAAAGTGAAGTCAGCTCCCAGCGAATTTAGTAAGACAAATGAACTTGCTGAATTGTTTCATACTCCATCTCGTCCCCCCAACGGGCATCTGGATCTAACAATAACTAGCGCAAAAGAACACAAGCAGATATGTTCCCCACTGTTACTAAGTGACTGCCCCAAAAATATTTGTCCTGGGCAACGTGGCACAGAGTGACTTATTTGAAACACGGGAAATGTAAAAATAATTCAGTTCGGGTTTTTTCACTGTCCACTCCATTAAAAACAAATCTAGTCCGTGGAATCTAGACGTCGTCATCATTGTTTAAAACCGAAAGTTAAACACTTCAGACTAAGGGGATGGTCTTGGTCACTGCTGCTTTCTGGGGAGATGACACATGCTCCAAAGTTCTTACCTTTAATTTAGTTTGTTTGCCAACTAATTCCATTTAATTAAAGTTATATTATAGAGCAATATTTTTGCTATTTTGGAAAACAAAATAATTTCTTGAACTTTCAGGCCCATCTGCTAATTTTCTAATTGTTTAGTACAGTAATTAAAATAAAATTAAGATTAGATTCAGTAAAGATACATTTTAAAATATAATATAAAGGTTTATCCTAAAAGCAAGTGATCAATTTAGATAATTATGTTTAGTTGTTATATTTTGGTGATCACTGCAAATATATAAAAACACACAATTTCATATTACTTAAGTTTCATTTATTATTAAAGTCTGTCATTAATTTCAGCGCATCAGTTTTACATTTTATCCATTAATGAAGGAATGAGCCCTTTAATTTTTGGCATGGTAAAATCTTTTCATATTAGGAAAATTTTCTGAACATTTATTACCATTTGTTTACTTTGCAATCCTATATTTAAAATGAGGTGGTTTTAGTAAATAATAAAACTATGGAGTGGGTTTTTCTGTCACTTAGTTTCATTTTTATAGATAATAATTTATACTGGAAGAGTGAGATTAAATCATCTCATTAAAATGATTGATCTTTTTGATGTTAGGAGTTGGAGGCCTATGAAATAGAGGTAAGTTTTCCCAAATTACTGTTTTCTAGCTATTTTTTCCTAAGAGGAGGTAGGCCTAAGTAATTAGCACATCTGCATTTTACATTTAGACATTTCAAAATGCATTGCTTTAAGCAATCCGCTTATTAGTCAAAAAAGCTCAACTGAGTTGAAAAATGTGTGAATACAGGAATTCTGTTTTTCAGTAAAGCTAATTTGAAAATTTCAGGTGCCAGATCATAAATTTCAGCAATAGTGTTCTTTCATATGGAAAAAATGTATTGGTTAGCTAGAATATACAAGCACATATATTAAGTGCTTATGTTGATATTTCTTTGCATCTCTTTTTATATAGTAGTTGTGATTCTACTCACAACTGTTCATGAATGTAAAGTTTTATTTTTAATATCTGTTTATTGCTTTAGAGAAAGAGAAAGATTATGAATTTGAGTTTATTAAATTATTTATCCATGCTGCTGGAGTAGGTTTGAAGGCTGATTGAAAGTATCTGATTTCTTGGCTCTTAATATTTTTATATTCCCTGGCTGTTTTATCAGTATCATCCTGCCAGCCACAATAAATTTATTTTTTTACACTAGCGAAATTAAAGACCCACATTTTTAGAATGTTTGCTTTAGGTGTGTCACCTTATATAAAATCAGATAGGAAGAATCTTTTCTTGTAATAGAAGTTGAAGGAACTCTGTTTACTCAGCTTTTTGTTTGATTATGTACTGTTAACTTATTTTTCAAGCACAGAAATAAATAAAACAAAAGTAAATTTAAAAAGTAAAAAAGTTATGATTTTCCATAAGTTTCATGTTAGTGATATTAAAACTAATTATTATATAATATAGGTTTGAATACAGATATTTTCTCTTCAACTATATTAAATGGTCTTCAGTTTTGTGCAGAGTCTTATAATAATTTGAGATGAAAAATAATTAGAATTGAATACAAGCTATTAATTACAATTGTGATCACTAAAGAATCTTAAAAACACAATTTAATGTGTTATTTTCCTCACTAAAAATACATATTCAAAATTAATATAAATTATCATACCAATTTTGGATTTTGTCATCCTGCAAATTACAGAAGAAAATGTTAAAAATTTCCCTATTTTGTATGCTATTATGTAAAAACAACTGTTAATTTGTTTATCATTTCATATTTCAAGAGCAAACATACATTTTGCACACTGCAAGTTTTATTTTTAACTGGAAACTGCAGAAACTTTCATACAGGAAAAATACATTGCATTATTCATTTGGTTCACTACTATATCAGCTTCATCAAAACCAGACATTTCTTAGTACTCAGGATTTTATTTAAGCAATCCAACACTGATATTTTTAAAAGGTTTGCTACTTTAAGAAAACAGTAGGTATTAGCGCCTTTTAATCTACTACATCTGTAGAGGGTCATCCAACACTGCAGAATTCTCATTACTGTTTCATGCCGTATATGATTAAGCAACTGAAAGAATTCAACACTGACCTTGAGAATAAAGCTGTATGTGTTGGATGAGCAGTGTCCAATGACTGCATGTTTAATACAACCTCTCCTCTTGATAATTTATATTTCTGAAATTTACTGTGTGATTGAAGGACCAAAAGAGTAGGTAATGTAAATAAATCAAAATCAAAGTGCAGTAACATTGAAAATGTATAATTGTGTAAATTATGACATTATTCTGCTTGTGTATTCACAGTCTGTGATTTGATCATCTGTTAGTTGCTCGCTTATTTGGGTTAAGTGTTACAGGAACATAAATACCTTTGTCACTGGTATTTTGCAAAATCATTTTTACATTGGATAACAAAAATGAATTATTTGATTTTCATACGTGCTAAGAACCTGCAACTCTCTTGTAGAGGCCAATGGAAACTGCAGGTGCTCAACATTTCTAAATATCAGACAGTGCATTAACAGTCATTTTATCTCTTCACATACATTTTGTCATTGCCTGTGTTCATTGATATTTTTATCCGTCAATAATATGTGCAGACCAAGTCATTCTACCTGGAGAACCAACTTGTTCTTCTTCACCTTGTGATGTATAGGTCAACTATGGTCTGTGGTTCTCAATCTAAACTTAGGTATAAGAGTACATGTTTTACATATTTAAGTATAGCCTTGAGAAACTGGTAATTAATTGTAATATTTACTGCCTAGTGTCCACAAATTTTTCTCTCAGAATAATGCCAGTGCAGATGGATAAGTGAATTGGTCATGAATGATAAATACCTTTAACTGAACTTTAGGAAGATCCTGATTCTCCACACACACACACGTTTGCTTACTAGTAAACATGTGATTATTTCCATTGAAATCCAGTGGGCCTTCTTAAAATTTAGTTAGGCCTTGATCCTGCACAGATGTCCATGAAATGTGCTGTATCTAAAAAGATACTTGTGTGTCTTACATTTATCTTGAAGCGTTTTTACATTCATATGCGATCATTGTTGTGAAGAAGCTATGTTTTGACCCGTCCTTTACTTTCTTAGGAAAAAAAATCTCCCATTGATGTAAGCAAGCTCTAATGATATCATTGAGGAATCTTCCTGAAAAAGGCAGTGACATGTTGTCTATGTCTTAGCAAGGTGCTTCCTCAAAATTTTTCTTTAGCCTGTCATAAACCCTGTGTAATAAAGGGACATATACGTGCACAAGCATGTGTTATCACTAATAGGACTGAGGGATGTGGTCTCAGAAACCATAATTTAAAAAGAAGCAGTGTCTCTTCACAAATATAAATATGAACAAGTTGGTGTGATTATTGGAAACATTTATACTCTGTTGTTGAAAAATATGCTGAGTATATTGGTTGTATAACAGTGTGTAATTTGAATAGCGATCAGGGTAAAGATTTCTTTCGAAAATACCTGACAGCTGCATTCTGAAGACAAGAAACCCCAAATCACAACAAAGTCACGACCACTTCTGAACTAGTGAAATAAAAGTCTCTCTGGAAGGTATAATTCATTAGCTGGAGAGATAGGCGACTGATGCCTGTAGGGGGAAGGGTGTAGGCAGAGCCACCCAGAGGGTGCATAGGAGGGTGGTGCACCTCCCATGTGCTATCACCAATCACCTATGTCTGGAGACGAGGTGAATTTTATTAGGAACAGTGAAATTACTTCAACCATCCTTTTAAAATTGGGAATGGAATTTTAACTGGAGTATTAGAAATACCCATATCGATTTGTCTGCACAGTATTGGGTGGAATCTACCCAATCAGGCCTTTTGTGGCAAGGTACAATCCATGATACTTCATCACACTGTATGAACGATTTTAAATCACCAAAGTAACAAAGTTGTGAATTTATGTGGAGATAATATGTATGCTGTTAATTCAGAAATCAAACATATAGATCTTGAAGTGTGTGGTATTACCCAGGCACAGAAATTACACTTTTTTGTTATAAAAATAGGCTCTATTAGCTTTAATGTATAATAGTAATATAATATATTAGCATATTCCAAAAAGGAAGAAAAAGCATTTGTGGCATAATTGATATGACAGAGAGAGTACTGACAAAGTTTTCTTCATAAACTAAACAAAAGATACTGCCATCTCACTAAGGTTCAAATGGTGCTGTGAATATTACTTTTCTTGTTGGATATTTTATGGAATTTTTTATCTTCTTTGTTTATACTGACACACTGTGAAGCATTTTTTCCTTTGTTGATATGAATGTTGTTTCCATGTTCTTCAGAAAGAATATTTTCAGTTGATCTGAAATAATTTGTAAAAATTTAAAGAAAACACTTGTTAATTGAATCTTATGTCTTAAAACTGATTCGGGGTCAAATTTACTTCTTTTATGTACTTAGGTATGGGTACCCATGCATATTTTTTCTCATTAAACAAAATTAAAATGTAAATAAAATACTTTACTGAAGTTTTTGCTTGGTAATTGCAATAGTAATTCTAATGTTATGCTTGTTTATGGGCCTATTAGGAGAAAAGTTATGGCAGAGTAAATGATTCCATGTAATTTCCAGTAAACGTTTTACCATTCATGCTTTTGTTCACTTATGCAAGTAATTTCTCAGGTATAGAAAGGCTAACTATGACCCCTGCATGTTTTTTTAATAAACTTGTAAAAGGAAACAGCTAATAAATACAGAATTCTTATTGGCACTAGGAAGTGTATGTAAGTAATATCACATCAGCTAGATTGTGCCTTAATGCTTGCAATTTTCAACAGCACCTCAAGAGATTGCTTCTCAAATAAGTAAAAATAACAGCAAATATGTAGGACAACAGTTGTCTCATTGTATTCATTGAGTGTGTTCATTATGTGTTATTAGTCTTTAATTGTGAGAATAAAACTGTATAACTATTTATCTTGGCAAACCCATTACATAGAGACTGTACCTTCCTTACAACTGGTGTGTGTATGTGTATATAATTTCATTTCACACACACACACACACACACACACACACACACACACACACACACACACACACTGTTTTGCTATGTTTCCTTTAGCTATTTTGGTGTACTAGACTAAGGGAGTACTTTTCAGGTTAAATTTATTGCTAACTTAATCTGCACTTGGTAGGCAAACTGCATATCTCAATGAGAAAAAAGATTTTTTTTCCAGAAAATTCAGTACTTCATTTGTTTTGCTCACCACGCTGCATTAGCACAGTTCTCCCCTGTGTGCATCTGCCAGTGTACAATTTAGCCACGGGCATCTGTAGACCTTGTGGTGATCAGTATTGCAGGCAAAAGCCATATGTGTTTTAAATAAAAAAAACCTCTTTATTTCATTTGCTGTTTTAACTGGATGGATAACTTTTGTGCCTCAAGACAGAGGAAGAGAAAATACAGAAATAATTAATTGCCTCTATTCTTGAGGCTGTTTCGTTTTCCCTCTCCAATATGGAATGCTTGTCAGCTTTTCTGATAAATGACTGCATGTATTTGCATAGATTTTACATTAACACAAAAATTAGTTTTATTTGTAAAAAAAACCCAGTTTACATAATAATGCAAAAACTAGCATTATGGATTATGTTGCCAGACCTAGAAAACTGTGGAGCATTGTAATTTCCTTTTTCTTGTAAAGATATTTTTTAAGTTTAAGACATTTAAGTGTGTAGCTTCTACTTTTTATGGCTTAACTTTTTTAAAAAAAATCAACAGTTCAGGAACATTAAATGTTTAGGTACCCTTTTCTCTAAGCTTTCATAACCTTAATTATTTATGCTGTATGAATAGGGCTTCTTTTTAGAGCTTACATCCATACATTTGTTAGCTATATAAAAAAACAAACTTATACGTACATACATTTCCGAAATCTCATGTAACTGTTTTGATAAAAATCTTGTTGCAGATTGTTAAATAGACACTAAGACACTGTTTTTAGTTTCTAATAATGCTATTAAAATGGTGCTGGATTAAATATTCATAAAAGCTTTCAGCTTTTGCATTCATTTGTATTCCAACTGTGAGACCAAGTTTGTTTGTTTTTTTCATACCTTATAACCTGTCTGACATAATTGACTGGCCATTAGTGGTTTCAAGACACATTTGTATACATGTCTCTGAAAATTGGGTTTTAGTCACAATTTATTATTCCTGTAGATAGAATTTATAAACCAGTTACTCTAAGCATGCTTTTCTTCAAAAGATGTTTATCATAATTTTGAAATAATATTTAGAGATTTTCGTGTTTGTTCATATTAAAACCTTGTATCTTATTGTCTAAAGGCATCTGTTGTTTTTATGTTGAAGAAAATGCAGCTGTATCACTGTTGTTACAACATGCTGTATTACAAAAAGAAAGTCTTGCTTCTTATGAAGCATGCTATACTTAATTGCAACTTAAACAAGGAGAGTGCCTTTTCTTTGCCACTTCTTGAATCTGGGACACCCTGGGTGCCAGCTGTCACTGCTCAGCTAATGATGACAAATGCCCCTCTCTATGCAGATTGCAGCTCTTGTAGGCTGCTATGAAGGCAGCCAGATTACCTTTCTTCAGATAGTAACTTAACCTTTTAAACTCAAGTGTCAGAATGAAATTATTAGGTAGGAGAGTTTCGATATCTATTCCTTTTATACAAAAAGGGGGGGGGGATTAAAACTTCAAGTAGTGCCATAGAACCTCATATTCAAAATTGTTCATGCTTTTCTGCTGCTTTAAAAATAGGAAATTGACACCATTGTCAATCAGCTTGTGAGAATTATATACAGTTTGCCAGAATGAATAAATGGGTCCTTAAACTCTATATAAAACCATGGTATGCCCACATCTTGAACACTGCATACAGATGTGGTCACCTCCTCACAAAAAAGATATATTGGCATTGGAAAAGGTTCAGAAAAGGGCAACAAAAATTATTAGGGGTTTGGAACTGGTCCTGTATTAAGAGAGATTAAAGAGACTTGGACTTTTCATCTTAGAAAAGAGGAGACTAAGGGGGGTATGCTAGAGGTCTATATAATCATGACTCCCATGGAAAAAGTGAATAAGGAAAAGTTATTTACTTATTCTCATAACATAAGAACTAGGGGTCACCAAATGAAATCAATAGGCAGCAGGTTTAAAACAAACAAAAGGAAGTTTTTCTTCACTCAGTGCAGAGTCAACCTGTGGAACTCCTTGCCAGAGGATGTGGTGAAGGCTAGAACTTTAACAGCGTTCAAAAAAGAGCTAGATAGATTCATGGAGGTTAGATCCATCAATAGCTATTAGCCAGGATAGGTAGGAATGGTGTCCCTAGCCTCTGTTTCTCTGGAGGTGAGTGATAGGGAAGGTATCACGTCTTGCTTACCTGTTGTGTTCCTTCCCTCTGGGGCATCTGGTATTGCCCACTGTCAGGCAGACAGGATACTGGGCTAGATGGATCTTTGGTCTGACCCTGTATGGCTGTTCTTATGTTCTTAAACTGACTCATCTGTTGTCCTGTTAAATGGATACAAAGAGCAAATAGTCTGCCATTTTTTATACCTGCACAACCCCTTTGGTGCCCAGATGTGACTGAGGGCAGAATTTAGCCCCAAATATTTAAGATAAACCTTGATTGTACTTAAATATTCTAAAAAAATATGGGAGTGGTTTTTTTCTCTAATGCGACCATTTCTAAACATATTATTCTGATTTAGGACCCAGATCACCAAGGTACTTAAGAAAGTGCCTGACTTTATGTACCTGAGTAGTCTTTTTGAATTCGGTGGGACTACTCATATACTTAAAGTAAAGCATATGTATAAGTATATTGTTGAATTGAAGTATTACAGCTTAATTTTCCAGTGTAAACCTGAATGTTCTTCATGGAAATTAAGTATCTGTAAAATGTCTTGAAATTCTGTAATTTGTTACAGAGGAAATTGGTTCACAGTACTATACAGTGAATGAATAACACACTATTGTCAATAGTAATACACACACACACGCACGCACACGCATACATTCACCCATCTTTATATGAGCGTGTGTATATGCGTATCCATATATTTGCATAGTTTTGTGTGTATGTATTTGTATACAGGAGTGCATATGTGTATGTGCACACACACATATGTATAAAATTTTGTATTTTGCCAGTTTATTTCTATTAAAACAAAAGTATATTGGAAAACTCTAACATGCACATTCCTTTTGCAACAAAATCAAGTTGTATTGTGAACTATATTTGCATAAGAATATTCAGTTACCTCTGAATTGTCCTGAATACTCTGAAAATGCATTAAACTGCTATAGTGAAAATATTGAAGCAATTTTAGGAAAACCCTTACTTTGAAATTGAGACACTCTCTCTCTATATATGTAATTAAGAAATTAACAGTCATGTTGAAGCACTTAATAGTAACATAAATAATAGGAGACATAAGCATGAAAGAAAAGGTGTGTTCAGCCTGAAGTGGGAATAGACCTGAAAAGTAAATGAGATGGGCAGATTGAGAAAGGATACTGTAAATGTTAGAAGTTGTAGAGAAGGCTTTCACACAAACAGTGGCTAAAATGTATGTAGAAAGAAAAGGCGTGCGCCAGATGATAAGAAGAAATGGGAGCTCTCTGAGATAGAATGGAGCACAAGGCAATGGATAAATATATTAATCCAGACCAAATTTCCCTGCCCATTATGCTGTGATTTGAAAATGAAATTGTTACAATGTTTTTTGTAAATTTGTCCCCATAATACTAATGAAATTAATTGTGAACTTCTATAGCAATTCTATATTTCTTCACTTCCATTTCTTTTCTGGCAGGAGAAAAGAATACTGCCTGATTTGTTAATATAAATGCTTATGAATATTGTCAGTATTTACTGCTTTGGTAATTTTTTAAATTAAATATTCATGCTGTTTAAAAGATCCTAGAATATTTTCCTTTTTAGGCTGCATTTGTTGCTACATGTGGAAGTTTAGCAGTTCTTAATTTTTCTTATAAGCATGATTATGTTTGAAATATTCTGTAACCATACATGATTCATATATTTTATGTAACTTTGGAACAATATGGGGAAGAAAAAGGACAGACACAGCTTTATTCAGTTTGTGCTTGAATGGATTTAAAATGAAATCCAGTGCCAATACAAAAGATACGTTTGCATGTTTGGATTTGCCCCATCTGTGTCATCTGGTGGCTTATGCAATAGGAGGTGTTATCACATGAATCCAAATGCACAAGCCAGTTGTTTTATGGACTGTTTCTGTGCTTGGAGGAGTTTATAAGTTGCCCGCTCTATTGTGTGTCACTCCCAGATGACACGTGTGCATTCTGCTGAGCATATTTTGGGGGTAATTATAACTAATGAAGCCTGGAACACAGCTTGTTCACAATGTGATTTATTCTGCTCCTGTCTAATTCTTGAGATTTCTGTAAAACGATTATATGATGCATACTATTTTGGACAAGTACAGGGACATCTCATGTTAGTTTAGTTTTCTTAGATTAAGTCAACTTGATTTTCAGTGTATCATAAACTAATTATGAGGCTGAAGAGTCTGGGTAGACATGTCTGTAAAAAAGGAAAAAGCCAGGAAAGTAAAATTTGTTACCATTTCCTAAAATGGAGTGGAATGTCACTTTACAGCACTAATTCTCCAGAGCTGTGTACTGTAATACAATTGGCAGGAATTCATGAAAGCCACATTTTAAGGATATGATATGTAAATAACTGAAATTTATATTGGTAAACTTCTGGGAAGAAATAGATGTGTACCATTCATCTTGAAAATGTTGAAGAAATTCTTGTGTACAACTTGTAAATAGTAGGGATAAATTTGTGTGTTTTCTCTTGGTATAAAATAAATGAAATCTCAATTACAAATAGACTGGTTTAATGGGGATACATTTTTCTTAATGTGTTTCTTGAGTACTATCATGGGCTTTGCAGTAGTACAGTAGTCTTTACTGATTCAGTAGGGCAAGGTTGCTCTGAATTCCATCAGTTTGGTTTTATTGCCTTTTATAACCCTTTTAGTCAAATGAGTTCTTCTGTGTGTCTTAAGTTTTAATAGCTGACTCTTGGTCAGTGAGGACAAAGCCATTGGTTTGAAGAAAAATACCCTGGAACTTTGCAACCAAGGAGCCAACCATTTCTTGAAGCCAGGGTGTGCCAAACTGATCCAGTTCCACACCCATCCTAATTAAGATCTTCCTTCATCAATTCCCTATACAAGTAATTCCACTGACATCATTGGGACTATTCCTGTAAGATGTAGGTAAGTTTGCAGAAATGGTTCCAAGCCTCTTGTCAGAGACCCCAACGTACTTCCACAGTCACGAGACTGTAATATACAGTAGGCATAGGGCCTGAATCACCATTTATTGCTGCATCTGTGTCATCTGTTGGTTTATGCAATAGGAGTTGTTACCACATGAATCGAAATACACAAACCAGTTGCTTTATGGACTGTTTCTGTGCTTGAAGCAGTTTATAAGTTGCATACTCTATTGTCACTAGTCACTTCTGCTGGAATTCTATCATTGGTACTCAGTAGTTGAACTAAATGCTTGCTTTCCCTTTCTTTACCTCAAAACTGTACTCAGATTTGGAAGATTTTGACTCTCTCCAGAGTCCTTTGATGCCTGCCCTTTTTACAGTTCTCAGAGTCACCAAGTATCTGACTTTTTATTCTAAATCTCCCTGCTCAGTTCTAGCCCTTCTTGATCAGGGAGAGATTAACCACTCAGACTTCAAACAGTGGGGCTGATCAAAGGTCTTAGGGTCTGATCCACATGGTTCTAACCAAGATAGCAACTGATAAACTTAGCTCAGCTGCTTATTCAGGAGCTGTGAAGAGGGATAGTAAACTGGAGAATTTCAGAGAGTGTTTGGAGAGGGACTGTGAGAAGTTTCCCTTTTAGTTTCAGGACTTCACTTGATTCTGCGATAGCCAGTGTTGGAACAGTGGCTGTGACCTACAACCCAAGTGCCATGTTTTCGTTCCTAACTGAAGCAAGGAGGAATTTCCTGTGTGGTTGTTCTGTTAAAAAAGGTTCTTGGCTTGGAAGGGCAAGTATAGACACTGAAAACACCAGAGAACCTTAGGAGTTCCAGGACAGTCAACAAAGCTTCTCAGGTCTATCTCAGATTCAAGAAAGGCAAGATCTGGCCATCAAAGGAAAGAGACCTGGCAGTTTATAACCAAGAGAAAAGAGTATAAAGGAGCATTTTACAGGAATGAATGCAGATGAAGATATAAGTATGAATAAAAACTGGACCAGGAGGAATTCTGTAGAGCTATGAGTGTCCAATCAATACCAGGGCCTCAATGTGAACTTCAGAATACATATACGAAGAGCCACATTTTTTAAAGGAACAGAAAGGTGTTTGGAGTGTTCCCCATCCCAGCCTCTAAGAAAATCAATATTGCCCACAAAGAAACCTCCAGTTATCCAAGGAAGACAGACAATCATTGTTAGAGATTCAGTATTCAGAAGAATGGAAAACACATTCTAAATGAACAGGTGGACAACAGGCTGACATCTTCCCAGGACACAGGATGTGTCACTCTAATGGACAGTACTAGGGAGCAGAGTGCCTGGCTCCTGAAACACCTGTGTATACTGTATAGGGAAACACCTGTGTATACATGATCACGGGGAACTTCAATATGAGTGACATACGCTGAAGACCTTGTGCTGCTAGCATTAGAACTTCCTGAAAATTTCTGACTATTAGATGATAATTTTATAACTTGAAAAGAGTTTCCTGTAACAAAGTCAAATTTTATATTAGACCTTTCCTCAATGGATAAATAGGAAGTGATCACAAAACTAAAAATGAGGCATTTTGGGGGGTACAAGTGATCACAATTAACCACATTTGTTAGTGTGTCACAGGATATCTGTCCCCTGTAAAGAGATTAAGCCTGGGTTCTCTGGGCCAGAGCAGATGAATCCAATCTATGCAGTTAAAGAGGGTAGGCTCCACAGGGACCTGTAAAGGGCTGCTAGTACGGAATAAGACAGGTTCTGCCCTGGGGAGGGAAAGCCACCCTGGAATGGAGCTAGCTCCTGTGGTAGGTCCCTGGAGCAAGGGACTACAGCTCAGAGAAGTAGCCCTGGAACTGTTGCTTCAGGAAGGGAGAGAGCTGACTGAAACTGGGAAGGTGCCAGGAGCAGGAGTACCAGAGTCCCCTGGAAGAGGTGGCCCTGAGGCTGGAGTTAAGATTGTTTGTTTGCTAACCCCTATTAAGAAAATAAATCTCTTTGTAAGACATTAGGTATGGAAATGCATACTTTGGAAATGGGGAGGGGCATGACACAATGACACTTGGTAACAGAAGCTAGATTTTAGTCTGACCTGGAATAAGGGGAAAGATGAAATTAGCAATCTGTCTGTTAGAGGCAGCACAGCATCAACAGCAGACCCAGGCAAGGGTCTGGAAAATAGGGATCCAGGGGGTGCTGTAGGGATGCAGGGCATGCAGGTTTTGGGCATCCCAGCCAAA